CTATAGTCTAGTCTATAGTCTAGTCTATAGTCTAGTCTATAGTCTAGTCTATAGTCTAGTCTATAGTCTAGTCTATAGTCTAGTCTATAGTCTAGTCTATAGTCTAGTCTATAGTCTAGTCTATAGTCTAGTCTATAGTCTAGTCTATAGTCTAGTCTATAGTCTAGTGTCTAGTCTATAGTCTAGTCTAGTGTCTAGTCTATAGTCTAGTCTATAGTCTAGTCTATAGTCTAGTCTATAGTCTAGTCTATAGTCTAGTCTATAGTCTAGTCTATAGTCTAGTCTATAGTCTAGTCTATAGTCTAGTCTATAGTCTAGTCTATAGTCTAGTCTATAGTCTAGTCTATAGTCTAGTCTATAGTCTAGTCTATAGTCTAGTCTATAGTCTAGTCTATAGTCTAGTCTATAGTCTAGTCTATAGTCTAGTAGTCTAGTCTATAGTCTAGTCTATAGTCTAGTCTATAGTCCAGTCTATAGTCTAGTCTATAGTCTAGTCTATAGTCTAGTCTATAGTCTAGTCTATAGTCTAGTCTATAGTCTAGTCTATAGTCTAGTCTATAGTCTAGTCTATAGTCTAGCCTATAGTCTAGTCTATAGTGTAGTCTATAGTCTAGTCTATAGTGTAGTCTATAGTGTAGTCTATAGTGTAGTCTATAGTGTAGTCTATAGTCTAGTCTATAGTCTAGTCTATAGTCTAGTCTATAGTCTACAATCTTGTCTATAGTCTAGTCTACAATCTTGTCTATAGTCTAGTCTATAGTCTAGTCTGTAGTCTAGTCTGTAGTCTAGTCTATAGTCTAGTCTTTAATCTAGGCTACAGTCTAGTCATTGAATAATATAATATTAAATAATATGATCCTGTATTCGTTGAAAAACATTTCAAATTATTCTATTTATAACTTTATTGCTCTTTACGAGTCGGTCATAAATTTGTCAAATTTAACATTTAAAGTTTCTGAAGTTAATAATTTATGTTTGTAAAAGTGATTGTTAAGTTTTGGCAAATGAAGCTCTTATTTTACCTTCGTTTTCATATTGAAAATTCTGTAATTGTGCAGGTTTTTGTAAAATATTTATTTTAAAAAAAGTTTAGAACATTTTACAGCTAACCTTTACATAATATTTACATACATATGTAAGTATGTATGTATATGCAAACAAAAAGCGTTTCACACTGGCAATGAAAACTTTATTAATAGCCACTAATAAATGTTTATTAAACAACTATTAATTTGTATGAACAATAAATAGTAAATGGTAGCTAGTGTAAATGCCGGTGTGAATTTTTTTTTTGGTCTTCTTTTTCTAACAATAAATCACCGAGGTTTTTTCAAACTTTTTTTTGTCGAATAATTTTATTTAAAACCATGAGTAGTATTTATTTATCCGTTATGGCAATTAACAAATAGTTATTTAAATATTTACACATTTATGTGGTTGGTATACAAAATGGAATACATATGTATTTATGAATAAGTACTACACTACTCACTACTATTTAAACAAACATACATTGTACATTCTAAAGGTAAATAGTAAAAAAAAATTTGATTTTACTACTAATTTATTAGAGTCATGGTAGTCTCTCTTGGACTATAACTTTATTTATAAAACCAATACCCCAAACAATTCGTCATAAAATAGTGAATTGTTATTTATCATCTGCATTTCAATTGTTACAATTGTGTTAACAAATATTTGGGAAATGATTGATTTTTTTTTTGAAAATCAAGTAGTTTTTCTCACCATTTTGTCATAGAATGAGAAAGATGTCTTTTAATGTTAGCTCTTTTTTCAGTTTAGATCAGTTGTTTAATAAATGAGTGTTAATAAATTAATAGACACAAATAAAATAAGTTTATTGACACCTTGTCTCGCTTGGTATTCGGCCTGTATTTAGTTAATTTTGATTTATTTTATGATTCATTTACAAAATTTCAAAATACCTGTGATTTCGTTAGAATTTGTTATTTTGTTGCTAATTTTATAGCTAATTTTTATGTTTGATTAAGAGATTAAACTTATGGCAAAAAAAAAACTATAAAAATAGAAGTTTTTTTATAGTTTTAGTCTACTTTATACACTCTTATAAATTTTTGTTTAAATTTACACTATTTATTGTAGGTAACCAGACTCCTAGTATAATAAGTGTAAAAATACACGTTGAAAAGTATTCAAAAATTTTAAACACATTGTATGTAAAAATAATTGAAAAAATTTTTATTTTTACCTATTTATGTGTTTAAAAATGTTTAGCATCATTTCAGTTTTGTTTAAATTTAAACACTCTGTGCCTAAAAAAACAATTTCTATATGTAAATTTAAAACTATATTGTTTAATACTACATGGTAAATATGTATATATAAACATATAGAAAATTTAGCTGTAAACCACCTTTACTTTTATTTTTAATAGTTTTGTATTTATTTATTAGTTTAAAGAATTGAGATATAATGCATAAAAGTACGAAAATTTATTGATTTAACAGTTATATTAGTTCCACATTGACTTCAACAACTATTTTTTCTTGAATTTCGGGTCTTCTCTTTTCTTTGGACAATTCTGTAGGTGGTTATAATTTGTTATTATTTATTTTTAATTTATATGCAATTTCGTGTCAAGTGACCCAATTTATAAACTCGATTTAGATGAAACATGCACCAAGGTTAGTATATTGGATTAGAATGGTTCAGAGTTGGATAATTTGGTCATACAGAGTTTTTTTTTTTTTTTTTTTCAAATGAGTCTAAATTTCACCTATTGGCCCTAGCAAAAATTGTCCATAGGACTTTAGATAGCTATTTCTTTAATCGGAAAACATCGATTTTAGAAGTTGGGTCACTTGACACGAAATTGTCCATACATTTAAGTACAAATTTATACTTACGAAAGCCTTAATTGATAAATTCGTGCAAATTATTCCTTATTTGTTGTTGGACAATAGCATCTTGATTTAAAAAGGAACGTAATATGTATTTTTATTGACCACCTATTATTTCAATGACAACCCCGATATATATATATATATATATATAGTCTAGTCTATAGTCTAGTCTATAGTCTAGTCTATAGTCTAGTCTATAGTCTAGTCTATAGTCTAGTCTATAGTCTAGTCTATAGTCTAGTCTATAGTCTAGTCTATAGTCTAGTCTATAGTCTAGTCTATAGTCTAGTCTATAGTCTAGTCTATAGTCTAGTCTATAGTCTAATCTATAGTCTAGTCTATAGTCTAGTCTATAGTCTAGTCTATAGTCTAGTCTATAGTCTAGTCTATAGTCTAGTCTATAGTCTAGTCTATAGTCTAGTCTATAGTCTAGTCTATAGTCTAGTCTATAGTCTAGTCTATAGTCTAGTCTATAGTCTAGTCTATAGTCTAGTCTATAGTTTAGTCTATAATCTAGTCTATGGTCTATAGTTTGGTCAATAGTGTAGTCTGGACTATAGTATAGTCTATAATCTGAACTATTGTGTAGTCTTATAATCTGAACTATAGTATAGTCTATAGTCTGGACTATAATCTAGACTATAGTCTGAACTATAGTCTAGACTATAATCTGGACTACAGTCTAGACTATAATCTGGACTACAGTCTAGTCTATAGTCTGGACTATAGTCTAGACTATAGTCTGAACTATGGTATGGTCAATAGTCTGGACTATAATCTAGACTATAGTCTGAACTATAGTCTAAAGTCTAGTCTATAGAGTGGACTATAGTCTAGTCTATAGTCTGGACAATAGTCTAGTCTATAGTCCGGACTATAGTCTAGTCTATAGTTTGGACTATAGTCTAGTCTATAGTTTGGACTATAGTTTAGTCTATAGTCTGGACTATAGTCTAGTCTATAGTCTGGACTATAGTGCAGTCTATAGTCTGTGCTGTAGTCTAGTCTACAGTCTGGATTAAATTCTAATCTATAGTTTGGACTTTAGTCTAGTCTGTAGTCTGGACTATAGTCTAGTCTATAGTCTGGACTATAGACTTGTATATAGTGTGGTTTACAGTCTAGTCTATAGTCTGGACAATAGTCTAGTCTATAAACTGGACTATAGTCCAGTCTATAAACTGGACTATAATCTAGTCTATAGACTAATCTATAGTCTAGTCCATAGTCTGGAGTATAGTCTAATCTATAGTATGGACTGTAGTCTAGTCTATAGTCAGGACTACAGTGTGGACTAAAGTCTAATATATAGTCTGGTCTATAGTCTACTCTATAGTCTGGACTATAGTTTAGTCTATAGTTTGGACTATAGTCTAGTCTATAGTCTGGACTATAGTCTAGTCTATAGTCTGGACTATAGTCTAGTCTATAGTCTGGACTATAGTCTAGTTTATAGTCTAGACTATAGTCTAGTCTATAGTCTAGTCATAGTCTGGACTATAGTCTACTCTATAGTCTGGACTATAGTCTACTCTATAGTCTGGACTATAGTGTAGTCTATAGTCTGGACTATAGTGTAGTTTATAGTCTGTACTATAGTTCAGGTCTATAGTCTAGACTATAGTCTAGTCTATAGTCTGGACTATAGTCTATAGTCTGGACTATAGTATAGTCTAGACTAGTCTATAATCTGGACTAGTCTATAATCTAGTCTAGTCTATAATCTAGACTATAGTCTAGTCTATAGTCTAGACTATAGTCTAGTTTATAGTCTGGACTATAGTCTAGTCTAGTCTATAGAGTAGTCTATAGCCTAGTCTATAGAGTAGTCTATAGCCTAGTCTATAGTGTAGACTATATAGTAGAGTAGTCTATAGTATGGACTATAGTATTGTCTATAGTCTAGTCTGTACTCGAGTCACAGAGTCTAGGCTATTGTGCCATCACCTTCGCATGAATGCGTTCTTATGTTTATCGAAATTGAAGGAATTTTGTACTTGTATTTAGACCTGCAATTGCTTAAGGTCCAACTTATCTCTTTTGTTAAAAATATTAATATTAAGTGTATAAATCTTGACCTTTGTATTTGACTCAAAATTAATTGCTTCCCTTTTCTTCTTGTCTTTTCAGAATTTCAAGAAATTTGAAGAATTGATCACCTGACAAACTTTTGAATGGTTCTACTAACGAATTCCAAGAACAAGGTAAGTGTAACTAATATCCTTTAATATGTCACCATTCTATTTAAATTCTTTGAAAACTTAAATCGAATCATCTATTGTTTTAATTGATAAATCCTAAGCAAATTTATCTCCTTCCACTCTTCAAAAAACACAATTGAAACTAAGCCAAACTATTTTCTCGATCACCTGTGCCAGAACAAAATGTTCGTGATTTAAAATTTGCAAAATCAACCGAAACAAGTTTTATTTCTTAACTCTTGATTAATGGGGCTAATTTGTTATTCCAACACGGTCATTGTACTCTAAATTTAAACATTATTTGTTTTAAGTTTTCTTTCTTCTCTTTACACACACAATAAACATCCTTGACTTTAATTTTAAATGTTTTATACTGCCAGTGAAAAATTGTCCTTCATCAATATCCTGGTGCATTGTTTATGTGTTGAAAATGTAGGATCAACAAATAAATTCTAATACAATTGTCTTTGATAACTATTGTTTGACACTTTGAAGCATAAAACTACTGATTACACACACACACACACACACATTTTGTAACTGACACACATTCAGACCAGCCCAACAGTTGAAGAAAACAATTGAAGTATTAGTGTAGAAATATCAATACCAGTAGATATTAGAAAACATTTGTAATGGGCTGCCCTTTAGGCTTATGAGTGTAACTCTCCTTTTTTCCATTGAAATCTTAGGAAATACCCGGTAGTCTAAAGGTAACCTATGTTAAATACTTAAACTTCATAATAAATCTACTAACTAATAATTCTATCACATTTCATTTTATGGGATACAACCTTAGTTCGCTAGTCATGGCCTTGTAAGTGGGTTGCTAGGTAACTAGTAGTAAATTTTTTTAGCTTATTCACTAATTTATCTGCATAGTGCTAGTACCAAGACCTGCAGGGAAATAACAAAAAAAGAGTAATAACAAGAACTTAGCAACTACTATCTCGGAATTCACTAAAAATTAAAACTAAAGATGTTGTTCAAACTTAAATTATTAATAGAAAATTTGTTAACTTTTTTTTTAAATTCTCTTTGAACTGAAAGAATTCTTTAGTCTTCAATAAATAGAAATTTATTAGAAATGTTCATGCTTTGTTAGAACTTTTATTTGGCAACAAATATTTTTAGAAAGCATATAGAAAAAATGCAATTCAATATTTTGACAAGTGTTAAATTTTTACCTAAATAAAACAAAATATATTTGTCCTAAATAAAAATTTTTGAGTATTTGTTTGACCTACAAATATTTATATTGTCTTAGAAAATTAAAAAAAAATTCTTAAAAAACGGGGAAAATACGAAAAAATAAAATAACTCTCTATAGTCTAGACTATGGTGAAGATATTCTATAGTCTACAATTTCTATAGTCTGGACTATAGTATGGTCTATAGTCTGGACTATAGTCTAGTCTATAGTCTGGACTATAGTCTAGTCTATAGTCTGGACTATAGTCTAGTCTATAGTCTGGACTATAGTCTAGTCTATAGTCTGGACTATAGTCTAGTCTATAGTCCGGACTATAGTCTAGTCTATAGTCTGGACTATAGTCTAGTCTATAGTCTGGACTATAGTCTAGTCTATAGTCTGGACTATAGTCTAGTCTATAGTCTGGACTATAGTCTAGTCTATAGTCTGGACTATAGTCTAGTCTATAGTCTGGACTATAGTCTAGTTTATAGTCTGGACTATAGTCTAGTTTATAGTCTGGACTATAGTCTAGTTTATAGTATGAACTATAGTCTGGACTGTAGTCTTGTCTATATTCTGGAATATAGTCTAGTCTATAGTCTAAAGAATTCTAGTCTGGACTAACGTCTGGACTATTGTCTAGTCTATAGTCTGGACTATATGTAGTCTAGTCTATAGTCTGGACTATAGTCTAGATTATAGTCTGGACTATAGTCTAGTCTATAGTCTGCACTACGGTCTAGTCTATAGTCTGGACTATGGTCTAGTCTATAGTCTGGAGTATAGTCTAGTCTATAGTCTGTCTAGTCTAGCCTATAGTCTGGACTATAGTCTAGTCTATAGTATGACCTGGATTATAGTGCGGTCTATAGTATATAGTCTTGATTATAGTTTAGTTTAGTCTATAGTCTAGTCTAGTCTATAGTCTAATCTATAGTCTAGTCTAATCTGGACTATAATCTAGTCTATAGTATGAATTATGTCTAGTCTATAGTCTGGTCTATAGTTTAGTTTAGTCAATAGTATATTCTATAGTCTATTTATAGTCTAGTCTATAGTCTATGCTATAGTCTATGCTATAGTCTAGTCTATAGTCTAGGCTATACTTTAGACTATAATCTAGTCAATAGTCTAATCCACATAGTCAAATCTATATTTTGGTGTAATGTCAAGTTTATAGCTTAGTCTATAGTCTGGACTTTACTTTAGACTAGATTAGCCTGTAGTCTGGAATTTAACCTTTATTATATTAATCATTCAAAAACCAAGATTTCTATATTAAATTTTTCTTGATTCACTATATATTGCATTCAATTAGTGTATGACGCACAAATTTGGTTAATTTGGTCTTAATGTTTCTGTTTTTTTTCATTTTGAACAAAAATAAATAAACAACTTTCTTTTATATAATAGTTATTTTTGATATTTAAAAAAAAAACTGATATTTTGAATTATAAATAGAAAAACGAAAAAAGTGGAAAAAGTATGTAGTAGAGACAAAAACGATCAATTTCGTTTGTCTAATGAGCAACAGGTTTGTTTTTTTTTTTTCACTCTCATGGTTTAAAAATATGTATTTCTTCAATACAATTCGAAACAATTAAGTTTAAACAGTTTTTGGGAACCAATTTATACCACATATTTATTAACTTATTTGCTTTTACTTGTTAACGTGCTTTTTTGGTAACATTGTTTAAATAAAAAGTAAATTTATACAAATGTTAATAATTTTGAAAGAAGAAAATAATAATAATTAATGAGTGTAAATGCAATTAATCAGTTAGATTTTATTCGTATTATTATCCCGGGATAAGTTTTTGATGTTAAATTACAATTTATTTGACATCATTTATTTGACAGTTTTTTTCTTGGTATTTTACTTTTAATATCAATACTTTAACTTATTTAATTTTTATCTTTTTATTAAACAAATAAATATGTTTTTTTATAGACTTTTATTTTCTGGCTGAAAATAAAAAAACTGATGTCATCTCAAGTGTTTTTTTTGTTTTGTGTTTAAAAAAACACAAAAAAACTGAAAAGAAATTGTTTTTCAATAAAGAGAAAAAAATTTGTTCGTTGTTCCCAAATAAATATACCAACATTGTCAATAAAACTCTCACGTGTTAAATTGGTATCGAAATTAATGATTAACAAAAAGAAAGGTTTTTAATTTAACAAAAAACAAACGACTGCAATTGTTAATACAATTGCCTGCCTGTTTGTCTGTCCATATTTTTGAACTGTTTAATAGTCTGACTGCTGTATATTTTATTATTGTTTAATACAAAAGTTATCATACATCTCTGCCACCCTTTTATTAAAATAAAAAACAATTAAATAAAAAAGTAATTTCAAAAAAAAAAATATTTTTTATGAACAAAAACAAAGATCGGCTGTAGATCATATAAGTCTAATATATAGCCTGAACTAAACTCTACTCTATAGCCTGGACTATATTCTAGGCTTTAGTCTCGACTATCGTCTACTTCATGTTCTGGACTATAATATAGTCTTTAGACTTTACTATGGTATAGTTTATAGTCTGGACTATAGTATAGTTTATAGTCTGGACTATAGTCTAGTCTATAGTCTAATCTATAGTCTAGACTATAGTCTAGTCTATAGTCTAGTCTATAGTCTAGTCTATAGTCTAGTCTATAGTCTAGTCTATAGTCTAGTCTATAGTCTAGTCTATAGTCTAGTCTATAGTCTAGTCTATAGTCTAGTCTATAGTCTAGTCTATAGTCTAGTCTATAGTCTAGTCTATAGTCTAGTCTATAGTCTAGTCTATAGTCTAGTCTATAGTCTAGTCTATAGTCTAGTCTATAGTCTAGTCTATAGTCTAGTCTATAGTCTAGTCTATAGTCTAGTCTATAGTCTAGTCTATAGTCTAGTCTATAGTCTAGTCTATAGTCTAGTCTATAGTCTAGTCTATAGTCTAGTCTATAGTCTAGTCTATAGTCTAGTCTATAGTCTAGTCTATAGTCTAGTCTATAGTCTAGTCTATAGTCTAGTCTATAGTCTAGTCTATAGTCTAGTCTATAGTCTAGTCTATAGTCTAGTCTATAGTAGTCTAGTCTAGTCTAGTCTATAGTCTAGTCTATAGTCTAGTCTATAGTCTAGTCTATAGTCTAGTCTATAGTCTAGTCTATAGTCTAGTCTATAGTCTAGTCTATAGTCTAGTCTATAGTCTAGTCTATAGTCTAGTCTATAGTCTAGTCTATAGTCTAGTCTATAGTCTAGTCTATAGTCTAGTCTATAGTCTAGTCTATAGTCTAGTCTATAGTCTAGTCTATAGTCTAGTCTATAGTCTAGTCTATAGTCTAGTCTATAGTCTAGTCTATAGTCTAGTCTATAGTCTAGTCTATAGTCTAGTCTATATTCTAGTCTATAGTCTAGTCTATAGTCTAGTCTATAGTCTAGTCTATAGTCTAGTCTATAGTCTAGTCTATGGTCTGGTTTATAGACTAACCTATAGTCTGGTCTATATTCAAGTCTATAGTCTAATATATAGTTTAGTATGTAGTTTAGTCTATAGTTTAGTCCATAGTCTAGTCTATAGTCTAGTCTATAGTTTAGTCTATAGTCTAGTCTATAGTCTAGTCTATATTCTAGTCTATGGTCTAGTCTATAGACTAATCTATAGTCTAGTCTATAGTCTAGTCTATAGTCTAGTCTATAGTGTAGTCTATAGTGTAGTCTATAGTGTAGTCTATAGTCTAGTCTATAGTCTAGTCTATATTCTAGTCTATAGTCTAGTCTATAGTCTAGTCTATAGTCTAGTCTACAGTCTAGTCTATGGCCT